CTGTCTCTTAATAAGTTGAACTTCCTCACCAAGAGCCAAGACCGTTTCTTCCAAGGCATTTAATTTTTGTTCTATTTTCTGATCCATATCCCGTTGAATGGCTAAAGCCAGAGATTCATTTCTAGTGAGATCATTAACATGATGGGCAGTATGAACTTCCTGAACCAAAGCTACTGAAGAAACAGTAAGAGAAGTTACAATAACAATTAAAGGTAAAATACCTAGAAAAAGTGCAGCAACAAAACGTTTAGGACGAATTAAGGCATTGACTTCCTGAATAATTTGCAAAGCAGAATTGTCAAACCAAGGGTATCTTGTAAATCAACAGGTAACATAACATAAGAAGGTCTTTTTAACATAACCATAGTAGAAAAATTATGAACAATATCAGGAGTCAGGCAATTAGACAACACACATTGAGAACAGGTGACAGAATAGGAATTTCCGTGGCGGGAAATGTTCATTGTGTTGGCAGATCCAAGAAGCAATGCATAGGGGTATCCAACGCAGGCACGAAGATTGTCTTTCCATTCGGCGTAGATATCTTGTCTGGTGCTAAAAAGCTTGATAGTATTTACAGCAGGAAAAAGACGAAAAAGTTCAAGTAAGCACGAGTCCCATTGGAAGTGGTGAAGAAGTGGGTGATTTGTGACTTTTCAGGTTTCAGTCAGTGAAGAGGAGTAACCAAGGTGTTGGTTTAATTTATCAGGGACCAGATGGGTGAATTAGCGTTATTAAACAAGCATTAAATAAATTAATAAAAAGAAACAAAAAAAATTAGAGCTTTGTACCTTTTTTACATACAGGTGACTTAATAAGAAAGACAAAAATACCTTTTATACCAGACTTTTGAAATAAACACATCTAAACAAAGCAAATTATTAATACTTAACATAATTTTAAGGCATATATGCTTTGAATTATAAAATTTGAACTAGTTCTTGTTTACCAAAAATGATTGTGATTATAAGATTTGTTTTTATGAAAATTTATATAGGCGCCGTTTATAATTAGTTCTCTAGAGATAAAAAACAAAACAAAATAAAACAACACAAAACAAAACAAAACACAAAGACAGACAAACAGATACAGAGATCTCTTGATATACATTTAAAATTTTGGCCATATGTATATATTTTAAGAGAGAGAGTTATTTTATTAATTTTTGTGACATCACTGAGGTTTTTTAATGAGTTAAAAGCTAAAAACTGTGCAGAGAATATTAATTATTACCAAAGACCTTGGGCTCGAGACCACAACAGTCAGACAGTTTTACTAACATTTTTAGATAAGAGAATATTTTTTGAGTTTATATTTTTAAGAAGTGATTTTTTGGCTTTAGGTTGTCAATGCTTTATTACACTGAGAGCAAGTGTATATTAAAACAAAAAGGAACACTGTTATTTTGATAACAGGAGAAGAGGGAAACTTTAAGTTTGCCTGTTTTTAGGCTTTTATTAAAATTTGAGGTTTGAATTTAGCTCAAATATGTTTGTATTATTACTTTAAATTTTTTTTAAGGTTAATTAATTTTAACAAGAAACTTAACCTTCTACAGGTCCAATAAGTAAATTTAAAAACTTTTATTCAACCAATAAGCATTTTGTATAGCTTGTTAGCAAATGCAAAGTAACTCAGTAGTTTTTACCTTAGACAATTTAGACTTTAAAATTCAGAAAAAAAATAGGGAAATAAAACTTTTTTCCTAGAATGAACCAAAACAGTTCAGTCCCCCACAGCAGGAAGGCAGTAGAGACTTGCCAGTGATCCCAACACTGGAGAAAAAGTCCAGGCAGCTGCTTGTTGAGACCAGGGCAGCCCCCACCCATTTGCTGCAGTGGGTTTATAATATTTTTATAAAAACCTTTAGTTATATTATATAGTTATATTTAACCATTTTTTATTACCTTAGTAATAGTAAATGAACTTTATTATTATTTAGAAATACCTTATTTATTTATTTTAAAAGAATAAATGGCAAAACTTTGGAAGGGGAAACCATAAAAAGACCACATACTTAGAATCAGAAAACAAAGTTAAAGGCTGAGCAAACTGCTCAAGTGCCATAATGACTGTAATTATTTCAGCCTGCTGAGCAGAGACATTTTTAGAGACTTTTTGTAAAGGTTTATCTCCAAGACTATAAACTGTAGAGACTCCAGACGAAGAGCCATCAGTGAAAATAACCTTTGCATTGGGTACAGATTCAGAACTAATAATTTTTGGAAAAATAAGTTTAGTTTTTTTCTGCAAATTTCAATAATGGATGTTGAGGCAAATGAAATTTAATTGTTCCTGTAAAATTTAATAGAGCAATCCCCCAATCATCATCATTTTGTAGTAAATAATCAAACTGAGTCCTGTTATAAGGAATAACAATATTTGAAGGACTTTTGGCAAATAATTCTTTTGATCTACTGAGACCTTTCATAATAAGAAAAGCACACATGGTTGCATAAGCAGTAACCACGCGAGTCTGTGAATGTGCTAGATACACCCATTTAATTATGCCCTCCTGCCATAAGCAGGCTGTAGGAGTGTAGACAGTTTTAAGAATTAACAAATCCCATGGTAATTCATAATTTAGTTGAACAACTTTAGCCTCTGATATTTTTTGCTCAACCAGATTTAATTTCAGCAATGCTTCAGGAGTTAAGCTTCTAGGAGATCGTGGGTTAGGATCTCCCTGCAGAACTTCAAATAAAGGATGTAAATCTCCAGTGGTAATTTTTAAATAAGGCCGAATCCAATTTATATTTCCCAACAAATTTTTGGAAGTCATTTAAGGTTGTGAGTTTGTCTACTCGAATCTAAATATTCTGAGTCATGATAAAATCATCATGAATAATTTTACCCAAATAATTCAGAGGTCTATTTATTTGAATCTTATCTGGAGCTATAACAAGGCCAAAAGCCGTCAAATCTTGAATTAAATGTTGTAAAATTTGCGCAAGTAAGTCTTTAGACTTATGACTTAGTAAAATGTCATCCATATAATGAATAATATATGCCTCAGGAAGCTGAGTTTTTGTAGCTTGCAAAGCCTGATCCCCAAATTTTTGACACAAAGTGGGTGAATTTTTCATCCCTTGTGGTAAAACTTTCCATTGATATCTCTCCAGGGTTTCTGAAAATTACTAGATGGAACGCTAAATGCAAATTTTGGGCTATTATTTGGATGCAATTTTATAGTAAAGAAACAGTCCTGTAAATCAATAATAATAATGTGATTTTCTCTAGGGACAGCCACAGGGGAAGGCAAGCCAGGTTGCAAAGCACCCATATCTTGCATAGTAGCATTTACTGCTCTTAAGTCCTGAAGCAGTCTCCACTTTCCAGATTTTTTCTTTATAACAAAAACTGGAGTGTTCCATGGACTAGTGGATGGTTCTCAATGTCCTTTTTGCATCTGTTCTTGTACTATAGTTTGTATAGCCTGGATCTTTTCCGTTGTCAGGGGCCACTGATCGATCCAGACAGGATCCTCTGTTTTCCAAGCAATTTTATCAGCATATAAATATTCTTCAATGGCCCCTATGAAAAAGCCTGTTTATCTACTGAATCAGGGGTAATCAACAGTACTTCCATTGATTCCAAAATATCACGACCCCATAAAGAGAACAGCAGAGCAGCAATCACATATGGTTGAAAGCTGCCTGATTTATTGCCCATTTGCCAATTAAGCAATTGAGAGCTCTGTGCCACATTGTTAGCCATACCCAAGCCAAACAATGTGGAAGAAGTTTTAGTAATGGGCCATGTTGAAGGCCAATCTTTTCCTGCAATGCAGGAGTGGTCAGCCCCAGGATCCAACAGGCCCATAATAGGGCGGCCATTTATAAAAATTTTTTGTAGAGGTCTATCTTTGGTAATGGATTGAGCCCATGCTATTACATTAGTGGAGCCAAATCCACCTTCACCTCGGTTGTCCTGTAGGACTGGATTGGGTAAATTTACATAATTTAAAACAAGAATTTGAGCAATACACTGATCTTTGTGAATTTGAATTGTTTCTTTTAATGATCTAATCATAACTTTTACTTGACCCATAAAGTCAGCATTAATTATTCCTGGTAACACTTCAAAATTTTTCTTATAATTCGAACTACGTCCAATTATCAGTCCGACAGTGCCTTGTGGTATGGGTCCTTTTAAATAGGTGTCCACCAATTGGACACCGTCCATAGAAGAAAGTATTACATCTTTAGTAGCAGCCAAATCTAAGCCAGCACTACCAGGGGTAGCTCAAGGCAGGGCATGAATGTCCACTTGAAGCTCTAATTCTGTGTTTGTCTGTGTATTATTGCTATTATTATTGATTACTAATGTCCCTCCTTTTTTTTACGGGGTTGAGGGCTCGCCCCTGAATTTTAATTTACACTAATCACAGGGAAGGAAAAAGAAAAATCCCCATTCTTTCTGTCTTCATCTGCTGCTCCAAGGAAGCCCCCTGGAGGAAGAGGCCGTAATACTTTCTTAGGCTGTTGCTTAGGCTTTCTAACAACGGGAAAAATTCCTTTACTAGGATGGTGATCCCAGAACTCATCTAACTGATATCTAGCTGCTTGTTCTTCCAAATCAGTCTGATCCTTTTGATCTAAAATCTCCTCATAATCTGAATTAGCAGAAAAATCCTTATCATTAAGACGAGCACAGTGAACATACTCTGTTCCTATCATTGGTGCTGATGGGGCTTTTCCCGTGGCATAATTTTTTGAAGGAAAATCAAACGGTGCTGCCTCATGCTCAATGTGTGAGTCACTAATATTTTCTTTTCTCCATAAGTCTGCCTCAGTGCTATCTACTAATAGGTCTCAAATTTGGACCCAAAGGGAAAATGCCTGAGGGGGGACCTCCATGGGCCCCTGCTGGTCATAAAATTTTATTATTTATTTTCCTACTTTTTTCCAGTTTTTTAAAGACAAACTTCCTACTTCAGGAAACCATGGACTTACCTTTAAAATGAACTCATATAATTCCACAAGTGATTTTTTACTTACCTTCATTCCTCTTCCCTCGAGCATATGGCCCAAAATGGAGAAAAAGAGGTCTTTATTCTTTGTTTGAGATTGTCCCATGATGCTGGGAATAAATGCACTGGGCCACTCACTGGCGCTGTCCGACTCGCGTCCCTCGCGGGAAATTAGGGACGTCTTAGCTAAGGTCTGTCCGTATAAACCCCGGACCAGGCTGTTCCAAGGAACAGATGACCGTTAATGCCGAACGACACCCCGCGAGAATCTGGGTGCAGCTCACTCAGACTCCGTAGCTAAGGCCGTGGAGCCAACAATTACAAGCACTCACACATACACACTTACATAAATATTATTTTCCTGGCCATTCTTTAACTGATCACCCTTTATCAGCGAGCCCGCGGCGCTCCAGCGAGGATCCGATCCTTGATTTTAATAAGTAAATTAAAGGAAACAAAAAGGGGAGAGATAGCTTATCCAAACAGTTTCTTCGTTACTCACCTTCTCTCAGGCGCAATTTTCTCTTCTTAAATTCTTAACTGAGCTCGAGCCCCACGTTTGGGCGCCACCTTTCATCCTTCCCTTCCCCCATGTCTTGGAGAAGTAAGCACTATTTTAGGGTACAGAAATAAATAATATAAAATAAAAAAAAAAAAACTTTGATACTATTCCTTTACGGTAGTTGCTACTCTACTTTTTTTCTCCTCCTTTTCATTATGATGATGATTCTCATTATGATGATAATTATGACTAGTTAAATCCTGTGGCTAACATGGAACAGGTATTGCCATCCCTAGTTTTCAACCAAGTATATAAAACTGGGAGAATTTAAGATAAATGCCTAAAATTTAAAATTTATGAAACCATAACTCATGTCCAGAATAGCTGACTTCAAACTTTGATCTTTCTTCCAAAATCATATCATAATCATTTTATTCTCATTTGAGAATACAAATATTCTCATTCCCAATGAGAATAATGAGGTGTGTGAATCTTCATTTTGAAAACAATGACATAGTTCTTGGAGAACTTGGAAATGTTCACATAAGCTGGTAAATGGGGTTATATAACTTCTGAAATGAAAAATCTGAAAGTAAACTGAAATGGTTTCAAATAATTGACTGAAATCAAAAAAAAAGCAAGGCACATTCAGAGCCAACAAGAGCAGCTTGACTCTTCATATTCTGAATTTTTCCCTTGTTTAAAAATATAAAGACAGAATAGTGTTTGCTTCGGCAGCACATATACTAAAAATATAAAGACAGAATATAACAAGTTGGAAGTAAAATGTGAGCCAACATCCTTAGTGAAAACTGGGAATTGCTTTATTTTTATGAAGCTCCAAAATGATGCTATGCAAACATTCTGACCCACTAAATATATTATTCGATTTTATCATATTGGGTATTAAAATACATAATAAGATGTTTTCCCTTTGAAAGTATACTCAAATTTGCATGAAAAAAAGCTCATCGCTTGAATTGTTACTAGTGAAGGCTTAAATGCATAGTTCCCTTTCCCCCTGCAGTTTATCATAAGCAACTGTAATTTTGAATTGCATGTTCAAAGAAAAAAAGCATAACACACCCTCCTCTGAAAAACCAAACTGCCCATTTTTAGATCCAGTAATATTATCCATACTATCAAAACTGGGCAAAAAATTGTCACTCATAATGATTCATCCATTCTGATGTCAGTTCTTCAATCTGGAAGTTGAGTTTGTGTAATACAATGATGTCTTTTGTTAGACCCACAGTCTGTCCAGATCCCCACGCTAACCTCTAACTAAAGTATCCAGCTGCATTTGTTTTTTGTTTTGTTTTTGTTTGTTTAGTAGAATGCCTTTTCATTTTTTTTATTTTTTTTTAAATTTTTTACATCATTGTGAAATTTTTTGTTTGTTTTCATCCCTAGCTATGATCCAAATCTCAACTTCATCTCTTTCCCATTGTATCTTCCAAACTACCTAGTCTGTTTAACTTTCCTCTCTAAATCCAGAATATGCTTAGAGAAACTAGTGCTTATTTGCTCTTTTTCTCTAGACAGTCTCCTGGTTTCTTTATAAGATTTACACTGCTTGGCAAAGAATGGAGTGTGTTCTCACAGGAAAAAATGTAAACATGGGAAAACACATCCAAATTCAGTTTCCTTCATCAAGGTGCCTTCATGTGGTTGTTTTTCATATTTGTACACAGTTTATAACTTCCATATGTAGGCAGGTTAATTTGATAAAATATATTGCCCATGTCTTGAAGAGAAACTGTCATGATATAGTTTTATAAACTTTATTTTTTCATTAAATTTGTAATAATCATCTTCAAAATTTTAAGCCATTAATTGAATGCCCTTAATAATTATGCTTTATATTCATTTGCTGACATTGACATGATCTCTTTATGAAATTCTGCTACTGATGATGGAGACAATACATCAATAGCTAGATCTTCACTTTTCTTATATATCCAGGGAAACTTGAAATTGAAAATAAATTAAATTAATTTAGAATACTCATTTGAACTTATGGGAAGGTATGAATCACAGGGTGATATATAAATATCCCTTTGCACCTTCTGTTTTGGTTATGATGCTATATTATTATGTACCAAATTACTGCAAAGTACCATGTTTAGTGGCTTAAGACAAAAACTTACTTTATTGATTTTAAAACCATGAAAAGGTGGAGCACAAATATCATTGTTTGTGGGTCCTCCCCCATGAACTTACAACTACACAACACAATTTAGATTCAGGGTGTGACAATAGGGCTTATAAATAAAGAGGGAAATTGAGGGAAAGGAAAGAATTCCTTAGACCACAAATAGCTGGCTGAACTACTCCAGATTGTGTCTGCAGTGGCTAATATTCAAAAACTAAGGCTGCTTGTGCAAATTGGTACTGTCTCCCTGATGAGAGCCTGGAGCTGGTGGTTCACTGGTAAATGGTGAACAAGAATCTATCTCATAGTGGTGACTGGAGGTAGTCACAGGTGGGACTGTGGAGGCAGCACTACAGCAGTGCAGCAGAAATGTGAAAACCAGCAGGACAATTCCAGAGTGAACAGCACAAAGAGGCAGTGCCAGAGGATCAGAAGTGGTCAACAGCTCTTAGAGATGCCTGGACAGAGATCAGCAGGTTACCAGTATTACAGCACACAGAGATGCCAGGACAAGCCAGTGCCAGGACAAATATGTTAGAGGCAATGCTAGGGGACAATATACCATTGCTGGTAAGCTTGTGATATCAAAGGTAGGACCAGAGGCAGAAGTAGAAAGCTGCAGTTTGAAGTGGGCATCAAATGTGAAGTTCCACAGAGATATGTAAAGAACTTGAAGTTTCTGGATGAGTCTAGTGAATCCCACCTGATTTATTCTGTCTGATGGATGTCTGATGAATATCCCTGAAAAATCTCTGTGAAGTTATTAGGCAAATGTGTTCAAGCTAGCTACTGACCTGGTTTATATCCTCTTTAGCATCCTGCCTTTCAAGTATGATCATTCTGTTTTCTATTCCAGCTCTCTGATTAGTGCCAGTTGAACTCAAATCTGATTGGTCACTTTACAATCCTGAATGGTCTCAAAAACCTTGAATGGCTCTGGGGTGAGATCAAGCCTTATTGGTCTATTAGGAACTTGAAACTGATTGGTCTACCTTCAATTCTGGGGCAGCATTAAAAAAATAAAACCCTGGCTCAATACACTGAGGTCTGATGGTCTTGCATAGTCCTTGCAACAGAGCTGGGGCATGGGCCTGAGTGACTGGACTACAGGCCATCATTTGGAGCCCATCAAGATGGCTGTACATCAGAAGGTCTCCTCTTTCTGTAGCAACTGCTGGGATGAAACAGGGAAAGTCCCACTTTCACTGCTATTGGAATCTGCCATGTTGACTCACACTGAGGTTGGCCCTCAAAATTGGCTGTTGAGGAGGACCTCAACAAACCTGATCATGCCCCGTGGCATTAAGGAGCCAACATGGCTCCTGTTACAATTTTAAAATATCCTATATCAGGAATTAGGAAAAAGATACAATAGGAACAATAGCTTATCTATGCTCCGTAATATCTATAGGTCAAGTGTTATGGACTAAATGCTTATGTCCCGTGAAATTCATGTTTTTAAGCCCTATCCCTCTCTATCCCACCCCTATGTGATGGCATTAGGAGATGGAGCCTTTGAGAGGTAATTAAGATTTAACAAGTTCAGGAAGGTAGGATTATCATGATGGAATTCATGCCTTCCTGTGAAGCTGCCAGAAATTTTTCTCTCTTATCTCTAACATGTGAAGACACAGCAAAAAGACACCTGTCAGAAAGAAAGAGTTCTGATCAAAAACTGAAGTGAGTGGAATTTGATCTTGAACTTTGGCTTGCAGAACCATGATAAATTAATTTATGTTGCTTAATCCACCTAGCCTATGGTATTTTGCTACATAAAGCAGAACTAACTAAGAACGCTCTCTCTCTCTCTCTATCTCTGTCTCTTTGTCTCTGTCTCTCTTTCTCTTTTAATCTTTTTTTTTTTTTTTTTCCCTGCTTGTCCACTCATTTCTTTCTATCTCTGGTTTCCCCAGAGGATGTAAACTGGTATGAGTAAGAATCCATGTGTAGGTTGGAGGCATGAGGTAAAACAATTCACCAGAGACAGAGTGGAGATCAGAAAAGGGGGGTTTATTGAAATACATTGCAACGGGATAGATGGGAGAAGTCAACACCACAAAAAGGATTTTGGCTTCCATTTATAACCTGTTTTAGTGGGTTTTTTCATGACTGGGGTAGTTGGTCTCTGACGATTGTTATCTTCTGGACACAAGGTTTAGGTGGGTCTTCTGCACAGGAGGTGTCCTGCTGGGTTCAGTTTGCCAGGATTCTGAATACCCCTCTACTGACCACAAGGATGCATGATGCATCCTCTTAGTGCAGAGTCTTAGTTTAAAAAAATGTATATTAAATAATACCCCAAAACTGAAACCTTAAGTTGGATTTTTCACGTGATGACTCAGGGATTCAAGGAAGGATGCTTCAAAGAGTGTTTGTATAAAATGAAATTCTTAAGACCCTATTAGAGGACTTTCACTGAGTCAATAAAGTACTGATTTACTTTTTCCTGAAGCTTAAAAAGATGTTTTATAGCTG